TTTGAATAGAATGTTGCTCCATGGCGTAGAAAAGAAAAGATAGATAGAATAAGGTGAGGTAAGATATGAGGAAAAACAAGGTCCAAAGATAAAACAGCTACCATTTCCCGGCTTGTTGGGCATTTAACGACCCGCAGATAAATCTACAAGCGTATGGATACCGAAGTAGCTTTCATGCAGGATTATTCCTAGGTTTTATTGAATCTACAAGGAACTTGAGTGGTTATCTAAGGAACAGGTTTGTCCATGAAAGGATCAAGATGCCCAAGAGAGGGTGAATTGGGCTAATCTAAATTCTCGCGAAACTAAAACCTATCACTTAGCCCATTTCATCCCTTGTGTCTAATAGTGTTTCTAGCCTACGCATAAGAGTTTTGCAACATAATTCCAATCCTACACTAGCATGGAAATTCTAATAATGTAAAGGCATAAAATTAATTGCACAAATTTAAATGTGTAATGTAAAGAGAGGGAAAGGAATACAACGATGTTTTCTCAAGGTATCAGAGAGTCAGCACTCCCCACTAGTCCTCATTAGAGCATCTGCACAAGGATATAGCTCTACCTTGATCCATGCAAGGACTAAGTGCTCTCAACGGGCTGATTCTTCACCTCTCTAGCATGACAAATCGCCCACAAATGCTCACAACATGAGTTGGGTCTCCTACAAGCTCCACCGAGAGATCACCAAACTTCCAATCGCCACCAAGCCATTTAGGTGCCGCCAATCACCAAGAGTAGCAAGCATAAACTCTCACTTGACCTAACCAAGCCTAATGATACTAGTGGATGCACACTTGCTACTCTCCAATCACTAATGGAGAATCTTGAAATTAGCAAATCCCAATCATTCCACTAAGCTTGAACTCCCCCTTGCTCACCAATGAGTCTAACTAGCTGTTCAAAGTGGAAAGGGAGCTTTTATGGTCGAGATGGAGGAGTATAAATAGCCCCAACACCAAGATCTAGTTGTTGGAACCCCATTGCATGGAAATCTAGGTCACTGGATGATTTGGTACCTATTTGAACGGCTAGTTCCCAAACTAGTCATCATTGTACTACAAAGCAGTGCAGTAACTCAGTCCAGTGGCCATAACTGGACTAATCCGGTAGCCATTTTCCCTCTCTAAAACCTTACCCGACAGCACCAGATGACGCGATGACTAAGCACCGAATCAATCCAGTAAGTCCAATAACCCTCTACACAGCAAACCCTAACCGTAGTGTAGTACTGCATAGTCCGGTGGTCCTCTGGGCATAGCACCACATTAATCTGATACTACTGAGATGTGCCCATTCACTTCCTTTTCAATCCATCTATGTGAATGGTTCACTTCCACTTGATTCTTGGGCTTCCATAGAGGTACCTAGTGCTAAGTCTCATAAGTGTGCACTACACTAACTCACTAGAATCACCTAGGTCAGGCTACTAGTTCATACCCCTTTATAGTATGACCAAAGAAAAAACAAAGTCCTAAACTACTCTAAGTGTCTCCCACCACCAATTGACACTTAGAACTAGTCCGTCCTTAACCTTGTTGTCCATTCTTTGAAAACTAAAACAAAGTATATCAATAGGGGCATGAAAACCATTGATTTGCCCAATCATTAATCATTATTGTGACCTAACTTATATTGCCTCTGTATAACACATGTTATTCACAATAATTGTGTTGTCATTAATCACCAAAACCAATTTAGGGGCCTAGAAACTTTCAGTCCAAGGACGACAAGATAGACGATAGGCGAGGATAGAGAGGAGAACTAAGGGATGAACCCAAGTCTTGATAAGAACCGCTCTCTACTTGCTTACTTTGGGCATTGGCTTCAGCTTAGTGGGTACTAAGACATATCTGCCCTACTACTCTACATTGTACCCGAATGTGGGGGTTACAAAGGATGGACAGGGATATCACCACCTACCGCCTACCCCTACAACCCATGGAGTACGAGGCAAGCAAAGGTAACATATAACTTAGACACCACGTCTACGTTACAGATTACTACTCTAGCCTTGATCAACAATCTAAAGCACTCAATAAAGAGCGATGAACCCACAAGCATATAGAGAACAATACTTCAAATTAATCTCAATTACCTAATCAATCCTAGGTGTACACTTGGAACAAGAGCACACCTGCCGAGGTATAAGTTGGGGAAGCTGACAGACCCGACCCTCCTTCGAAACTCTCCCTCACTCTCTTCCTATACTAGTACTACAAGGTAAGATTATGCCTTTGGAGTGGATCTCAATTCTTCTTCTTGTCTTGTGTGTGTAATGAGAGGGGGGTGCCCCTCTATTTATAGGTGGGAGATGGAGCACCTTCAAAAGAATATTCCTCCTATTATTTGTTTCTTTATTCTCCACCTCTAAACTAACGTTGAACTGCCTTCTTCTTGAGCTACACTGCCTTGGATGCGTCCTAGGGGCGGTGGAGAGCAAGCCCACGAAGTTTGGGCCTATTTGGACCCCTTGGGGGTTCAATCGATCCCCCTAATGGGTCAGGGTCGCCCGATCCGGGGGGGCACTTCTAGGTCCCATCTTTGGTGAGTTGACACCCTTCTTGGCCCTGATTATGGATGTGCATGTGGGTTGACATGGTTTTCTTTTGGTTTTGGGTCCATGGATCCTTGGGCTTTGCTCCTGATAGGCCCAGTGTGCATTCCTTTATTGATCTTCATGTGTTTTCCCTCCATTTGGGACAAAATACACCTACATACAAATATTCACCAACACTTGTAGAACTATGTTGGATGTTGCTTCTAGGTTGCTTTTATGCATGATTGTTGACGGTAAAAAGTGGTACTTAAGGACCATCAACAATTGTCACGGCACTAGGAGATCTGGCATTTGTAAAGAGGTCTCCATGCATCCTCCCTTGCTTAAGTTGACAGCTAGAAGAAGAAAGAACAGGTTCAAGGGAGTTGTTAAGGGGGGTAGCAGCAAGAAAAGAAATATACATGAGTGCCCAATATTCCATGAGCTTGGCCATCAGTGGTACACCTGCAAGAATAGGGATCCAGCAGACATATTGCAATGCAGGCTTACAGGTAAACAAACACTTGTCCTATGCACTGTGTTTAACTGAACATATGTCCTATGCACTTGTTTAACTGAACATATATCATATTCAGGGGCATCCCAAAGAAAAGAGAGAATAAAGCAGCTAAATCTAATACAGAAACAAGCATTGTGGTGGTCACTCCTGTACCAGGGATGGTATTCCCTCATAATCAAGCAGTGCAGGATGTTGTACACAAGAAAAGAAAGATCCAATCCCCTTCATCATCAGGTGTGAAGAAAAGGAAGGGCTCAGCTACCAATGCGACATCAACGTCAATAAGTACCCCCAATCCTCAGTCTAGCACGTACTATACTCAATATGTCCATTTATTGTCAATACTTTGCAATGCTACTTATCCTAACCGAGCTCTGTGTGTCTTTGTCACAAGATCTGGCACTAGATCCAATGATGTAGCACATGTTCCCATCCAAGTTATGTACCTTGCCTCATTTCATGAAGAGAACTGAGGGTCAGCTGGTACAGCGGAGACAGTCACAGAAAACTATGAACGAGTTGCCTATCAGGAAGAAGCAGCCAATCAAGAAGAAGCTTACACCAAGAAAGGAAGGGACTGGTAGTCCAGCTATGGGCACTAGAAGCAAGGTTCCAGTTTACCTGCCAACCCAGCTGACACCTGATCTTTTGATCATGAGGCGTAATATACTGTAAGAACAACAGTTGTGGTCTGAGCTGACCAAAACTTCTGCAGTTCAAGTACTATGTACTGTGATGTAAGATCTGGATGACCAGTACTTACGGGATTTAAGTAGCTAAGTTTGTTGTTCTTCTGTTGTGCATGTTGGTGAAATGAACCAATATCAAGATAAGACATAATATTTTGCTGCCATCACATTCAGGAAACAACCATTCATAGATTCATTCATTAGCATTGATATCCATGCAATCACACACACATACATAGATACTCTACTTCATAATAATTGCATACAGACCGAGAAAAATGCAAACACAGACCAGTTTGTCAATCAATCTAAGATGCTGGATAACTATATCATCTGCCTCTCCACTTTTCTCTACACCAACAGCAGCCTAGGTTGACCACGCGTGCCTCTTCGGTCAATCGCTGGTCAACATCGAAAAGCAACGAGCACCGAATCCGTTGTCCTACAAAGCTTTCGAATAATCGTAGTTCGACAACAAAAAGGAGGCACAGAGCCAGCCGATCCAAGCCTCCGGTCAACGAAAAGAAGACAGGTATATCAGCTGATCATCGTTGGCTAGCCATCCAAGGCTCCGAGATTCATCTGACCATTCAGGGGCACCATATGATTCTAGCATCTGACCACACAGGCCTGCCGGGGCACCACAGGATTCTAGCAACCGTATGTTGACAATCGGACAGGCAACAATGTTGTGGCTGTCGTGGCGTTGCCTTCCTGCTCCTGCCGGTCTCGAGTTTAAATACTATAGTCAGTCTACGAAACCATCATTTGAACTATACATTGACAGGATGTTTCGTTGATCTTTTATTAAACCTGTAAAACTGACGTGATATGGAACTATGCACTAGTAGCCTAAGCACCTGTCTAGCAAACTACAGTGTAGTTATCATCATCCCAAAGGTGTGGAGAGAGATTACTGGCTACAGCACAAAGTGTTTAAAATATTTTTGCGACCATCCGCCAGTTAAAGTGTGGAATCAACTGGTACCAATCGTTTCTGGGGAAGAAAAAAACAGGAAATTTATGCATCACAAAGAGCCCAAACTGCCACCCTCCGCGGCAGAAGGTTAAAAATTCAAACAACAGATCTTATGAATTCCTACAGTATTAAGACTTTCACTGGCAGAAACCTGCACCATCATCCGAATAAGCAACAATGGAAACCGAAAGGCTCCATGCCAGGGTTTACAGAGTATTTTTTTTCACAAAATGCAACATAGTTACTTGAGATTATAGTAGCATTTGTGACTATTTATGCAGAAGCATCACAGGAATCAGTGCCTTCACTGTCTGACCATTCATTGTCGTCGTCGTCCTCAACACAAAAGAACACCTCATCACTGCATCAAATATATGTTCTTTTAGAGTGTTTGATGAAATATGTTATGTTGTTTATACACAGTGAACAAATAACTATATTGATACCATATATAATCTAAAAGAGTTGAGCGAATATAAAAAAAAAAACTTACTCTGACGACTCAAATGCTTGAAATGCTCGGAAGAATCTACGGACCAGACAGAAAATTTAAGTTAACCATTAATAAAGGTGAAGACACATATTACAAGATCAGAAAATAATCTAACCTGCCCTCCATGTTAGTATGATTTACAATAAACAAAACCAACTCAACAAGACTGGGAGCAAGAAGCTGACCAATAACAAGATCAGTTATCATCATATCAGACACCAACTGTGTCTGTAAGCCAGGAAGCTTCAAATAAAAACAAATTGCAACAATTTAGAATCTATGCAGTTAATAGCCCAGAAATTTCATTTACATAGCAAAATAAAGACCAAGATTGTACCTTAGTGTGGTCCAAATCATGAGAACCAAAATTCCTCGAAAATTTCAGAAGATGGAAGTATGTAGGTGAGTATGGGTTCAAATGTGGGTCATCAACATTGAAGTAATACACACTTGTAAGAATAGGCAAATATTTAACGCAATCCCTCCAATCACTAGTCATTCTCTTGTTTAATGGTTTGTATGCATGATCTGGGACTGAACGATCTGTATCGTAGGCTTTGTAGAGATTGATCAGAAGTGTTGACCTGCTGAGGGGAGGCATGAAAGCAAAATGCAAAGCCAGGTACTTTTCATACTTCATGAAGTTATCAGGATCAGTAACAGGATCTGGAAGATTAAGTATACCATGTCCAAACTCATCAAAATATAGAGGGTAGCTTCCCAGCTCAGCATTTTTATAGTAAGGAACCAATAGCAGGTCCCATAACCTCTTGAAATCTGCCGAAGCGCTTTCCAAAGACAATTCCATGTCTGCTGCTTTTGAGATAATGAACTGCCCATTTAACACCTGCATATCAGAAAATTGAAAAGATCCATTCCAGCTCTTCCGTTCTCTGTGATTTTTGACAATCCATAGCAAGAAGCCTCTAGCGCATCTCCTTCCCGAACGTGTCAAAATAACCAAAGACAATTTAAAGACTGCCTTCAACTTCTGCTTATGAATTGAAAAATCAAGATCCTTTTTCAACGTCTTCAAACTCCTCTTCAGAGGCTTAAACACATCATTAGGGCGGATCTTGTATATTTTTGTAAGCTTGTTACTTCTGACAAATTGCTCTAACAAAATCCTGTATGTTAAAAAGCTTCAGTTCTACAAGTTTTATTTCAATAAACTTCACTACTAATTCTAAATTTCAGTCAGAAAATTCCTAAACATTTTTATTTAAGTAAGCATACCCTTGAATAGGATCCAAACTAGGTTGGCTGGTTGAACCACTGTCAGAATGACCTGCTCCCCTATCCAGGCTTGATGCAGCTGTATCCCTGCATATTACATGTAAATATAGATCTCTTTTTTATTGATGAAGATGTTAGCCATAGAATCAAAGCAGGGTGGATGAAGTGGCACCAAGCATATGGTGTCCTATGTGACAAAAGGGTACCACATAAGCTAAAAGGCAAGTTTTATAGGACGGCGATTAGACCTGCCATGCTATATGGTGCAAAATGTTAGCCTACGAAACGACAACATGTCCAACAGATAAGTGTCGCGAAAATGTGTATGTTGCGTTGGATCTATGGTCATACAAGAAGGGATTGAGTCCGGAACGATGATATACGTGATAGGCTAGGGGTGGCACCAATTGAAGAAAAGCTTGTCCAATACCGGTTAAGATGGTTTGGACATGTCCAACAGAGACCTTCAGAGACACCGGTGCGTAGTGGAATCCTAAGCCAGGATAGAAACGTGAAGAGAGGCAGAGGAAGACCGAAGTTGACTTGGGTAGAGGCAGTAAAAGGTGACTTGAAAGGATGGAATATATCCAAAGACTTAGCCTTAGACAAGAGTGCTTGGAAAACAGCTATTCACGTGCCTAAACCTTGATGGCTTCTGTTGGGTTTCAACTCTAGCCTACCCAACTTGTTTGGGACTTGTTGTAAATATATATCTCTTTTTCTAGAATTAAAGTAGGAAAAGTGTAAAAAATAATAGTTCTAAATTTCAGTATATTTTTGCCAGCTTATTACTTCTGACAAATTGCTCTAATGAAATCCTGCAAGTTAAAAAAACTTAGTTCTAAAATTTTAGTTTCAAGAAACTTCACTTCTAAATTTCAGTCAAAAAAATCCTAAACAACTTTATTTAAAGTAAGCATACCCTGGAATAGGATTCAAAATGTCCTGGCTTGTTGGAACACCGTCAGCATGACCTGCTTTGCAATCCGTGCTATCCCTGCATATCACAAGATGTAAATATAGTTTTTTTCTTGAATGCGCAAAGTAGAAGTGCAAAAGTCCTAAACAATTACAAATATAGTTATAACCTTTTCTCCAGAAGCTTATCCCCACCCATGTTGACTGGTTCTGCGGTGTCACTACATATGACATGTAAATACAAGTTTCAGCTCAATTGTTAACAAAATAAAACTATTAAACTTCTCCAGAAGCAGGCCCATGACCCACTTGTTTGAAACATAAATACATATTTGTAGGATACGAAAGTCAGCATATTATTAATTAACAACCTTTGCTCAGATTTCCTATCGTGCATAAGCTGCCCCTGAATATCACTCGTGACACCTTCCTTGAAATGATACCACTCCTGAACCTGTGTTGTATATTATTCAAGGTCAAACAAATTAAGTAGAAGCAAGTATCTAAAGAACTTTTTGCACTATTAGAGGACCTACCAATTTCCTCTCTATCATATAACTCAAAAGTGCAACATCGTTACTTGGTGTACGTTTATTACCCCCAACCGCAAAGATTTCATCATCCTTGCAATGTCGTAAGTCATTGGAGAAATGGGTATCCTCACTGGCTTTCTCAAGCACAGCAAACAACTCTCTCGATGTCGTTTTCTTAGAACAACTAATAATATCCTACAGCGAAAGAAAAAACAAAAAAGATATTATTATGTACAATACACATGAAATAAGGCAAGTTCCATGAAAAAAAACTTACAATCAATTGATTGCTAGTCATAGCAAGCGGATGATTTTGGTCTAAATTTTTCAATCTGTGCTTTAGTTTCTTCAAATTGGAACCCTGAAAATTTGAATTTCCAATTTAGCTCAGACTGATGTCTACTAACTTTTTGTGGAGATAGAAGCAACAATTACCGTGATTTTTATTCCGTTTAAAGACAAGATTTGGCGAGTCTGATCACAGGTAAGCTGGATAGCATAACAAAAAGAAAACCCAAAGTTAGGGAACTGAATTAAAAAGGAATTGAGCAATCTGAAAGAATAATCTTTTGCATGCAAAGGACTCACATCATCCCAATATTTACCAATGGCATCCAAGTTCTCCATAAAATCCTACAGAGCATTAGCAATGGGTAAAAAAAAAGACATAAAGTAAGATGAATGGAGCATCAAGGACACATAAGAGTAAGGATTGACAATGATTAAAAGTCGTCCGATTAATCGTGATTAATCATCCTAATCAGTCACCAGGGTACCGACGCGATTAGCTCGACCAGAAAGTTAGTCATCCGATTAGTCGACGACTAATCACGATTAGTCGTCCGACTAGGACAGGGAACGACCAATTTGGTCCTCTGTTTTTTGGCCTGTTTAACCAGGCCTATATGTGGGCAATTGGGCCTGTTTAACCGGGCCTATATGTGGACAATTGGGCTTGTAATTTGTCCTGTTAGGGTTGGAGTAGGGACCCCAAAACGCAGGAGGCACGCAGATGCAGGGAGATTTCACTTCCACGCGCACAGCGGCCGCAATTTTTCTCCTCCCGCGCGCGATTTCTCGCCCCCCTGCGCTATTCCCTATCTTCCGCTTGTGATTCTCCTCTCTGGTGAGGTCAGGTAGCCGCCCTAGAAGAGGGAAGGAGAAGAGGGCAGCAGCGCACCTGGAATCCGCCGGCGGCGGCGCCTGCCTACCCCCATCGCGGCCTGCCCTGCCCTCCTCCATCCCGCCGCCTATCCTGCTCGCCTCCATCCCACCGCCTCCCTTCTCGCCTCCAGCCGTGAGGCCCTCCCCGTCCGCGGCCCTCCTTCTCCGTGTTCGGGACTCCACTCCAGCCCTCCACCGATTCACGCCTCCATCATCAGCTCCGCTCTGCAGGTACGTGTTTTCTCCCCTCATCTGTTCTTCCTCCCCTCTCATTCCTCTGTTCTGCTCATTCTTGTGCTCGTGCTAGACTGTTAGGACTTGGATAGCTGTGTTCCTTCCTCTCCCACAAGTCACCGGCTAAACACTAGGGTCGACTAGGCTCGACTAATCAGCCTAGTCGACGACTAATCGTGATTAATTGCCTGGTCGGTCCCATGGCAACTAGGTTCAACTAGACGACTTGTAACCATTGGTAAGGAATATACATGCCATGGCATTCGTTTCCACATGAGTAAGTGTGTGTCTATTGAAATTAATTTCCGAGGCGAATTTCATTGTACAGCCGAAATTTCCACAAAGAAGACTATCGCTCTCAGGCTCCTGTAGAAGTGTTGTCGCATGCCTGGTGGCTTCAGCAGTTTTGTGAACAAACCAACTAGAAACCTGTATTGTGTTCCAAATCAACATCAGAGATATGTAACACACATCTTTGCTCATCTGAAGCTTAAACCTACCAGATTTTTTTCCACGAAGTAGCAGCAGCATGCCAAAACATTGTTCAAATCATGTAACAGGAGCAGCTGCTGGCTAAATACAACCTTCTCAGGACAAAAACGTATATCAGTTGAAAAGGCTGTATTCTCACTGTCTTTATCAAGAACAGTGAACAGCTCATCTGATGATATTTTTTTAGTACCATCCAAAACAACCTGCAAACAAGTCCCAAGCAAGTTGAGGTAGGCAAGAGTTGAAACCCAACATGAGCCCCTAGTCACGTTTTGTTGTAAATGAAGAAAAGGAACCTTCATATATGTGCATGCAAATGAAGGGAACTAGTTGGAAAAAAAATACCTTCATTCTATTGGTTCTGCTGTAAAATTCATCTCCATTGTCAATTTTTTCAATCATTCGGTAAAGTAGACCACCAGATATGCCCTGGAAATTTACATTTTATCATAATTTTAAATTGTTGCCTCATTTTTCTACAGAAAATTAGTATTAATAATTACCTGTATATTCATGTCCTTAATTGAAAGAACCTTACCAGCCTCCTGATGGTTCAACTAAAGAGGATAACAAACAATTTCAAGGTTCAAGATTCGTTTGATAGATAAATGGGATTACTTCCAGACCCAAGTAAGCCAAGAAATAAATGGCAGAAATTAATTACCTCATCCCAATGTTTACTGAGCTCAGCTTTACTGAAAGAAGCCTACAAAACATCATCAAAGGTGTCAACTGAGTTGAAAAATCAGAAACAAGCTCGTAAATATAGAGAGCATGAAGCTGCTATATGAAGAGGAAGAATACAGACCATTTTCAATTTTGGATTTTTTCCATGAACTTGTTTGTGCCGATTTGAGTTCACCAGAGACAAAAAAACTGTTTGACAATTATGCCTCTCGCATTTGTACATTCTTTGTGAAACTGCTGGTGCTGTTTGGCTAGTAGGCACTTCTGCCTGAGCATTTTGAATATCTTCAGATTTATTTTCATCCATTGGTGCTGCCACAAAATTGCTGTTACAGAACTGACCATCATCATGTTCCTGTTGGTTATCGATCAGGATGCAGGAAGAGTGAGGAAAAGGATGAGGGTCAATGATGGCTAAATACCGTTTCAATCAACAAACGAGTACAACAAAAAATTAGAACATACATTGAACTCTTTCCACAACATGTCTGTAGCCAAAGCATCTATAACATTGTTGAGTAAAAACAAAGTTCCATTGTGCTACATAGAAAGAGGATTAGAGACAAAAGCAGCAAATATTGTTTTAGTATCACAAGATGACAGTGAAGATTAGCATGTACCTTAGTCAAAGTATGAAAGGATCCATTCCAAAACAAAGCAAAGATTTGCCCTTCCAGCGTGGAATTCTTTAGCTCGTGTATGCTGCATTAATTGACGAAAGAAATGCCAACATAGATTAATATAAAAAATAAAATAAATGCACATTCCCAATAATAGTTAACATTACCCAAAAGCGGTCACCCCTGAACTCAGGAAATTCAGTACCAATGGGTCTGCAAGTAAATAATAATAATTACATATAGAAATCCAATTTAAAATTCAAAACTGAATGCATTTATTTATTTATACAAAAATAAAAACAATAGACCAGATACCTGCATTTCTGTCATAAACTGGTAGTCCACCTGAATTTTCAATCATAAACACATGATGATAATCAGTTCCAACAGCACCAAAAATAACAGTATCCTGACAACAAAAAAAGTATAGCATATAGGTAATCAACATTAGCACATATATATTAAAAAAAGCTAGAGCACTTTATAAATAAACAATCTGAAATTGAAAACGTACATCGGGGTGTACCAACCAAGCATGTAATAACTGAACTTTCATATGGTTAAACATGTCAAGCCTAACAGTACTGCTTCGGATACGGGCATTACTGCAAAACATGCACTGAAACTACGTCAAAAAAAAAAACACAAGTATTATCTATCTATACTATAAAGAGCGAAGGAATTAAAAATAACTCTCACATAAAAGTTTTCTACCCATCCTATATCATAACCATTAGATGGCTTATAGTATCTTTAAATCTAAAGGTGTATATTGATTGATATGTCATCCCCTTTATTTGAGAAGTACTTGGACTAGGAATTGGCAAATGAAACGAAAGCCCATTCAGGTAAACTGATGCCAACTTATGTCCTACCATAATCTCACTATTCGTGTAGGTTGTAGTCAATTTTATAGATTTAGGTAGTAGTCAATTTTATAAAACAATGAAAATTAAACATCCACTATTACAAAGCACACAATTGTGTATCCTAGAGCTATTCCTCCTTGTGTTATTGCTTGCATGCATGCTTACCTTGATACACAGTTTTGGTTTTGTTTTCAGGTAAAACCTATTGCATGCATGCTGACCAACAAATGCATCACTTACCTGGTAAAATCAACTTGAACATCAATGAGACCACTCAGTAATTGGACAGAGTTGTCCATTTCAGTTTTGGTGATAACACAGTCACCACCAAGAGCCTGTCAAATTCGCAAGTAACACAAACAATTAAAAACAATCAAAATAACTAACACTACAGAAATATGAGGTAATAGATAGACCAAACTGACCGAATGTTTCATACGGTAGATGCGACTCAAGCGCAATATCAAACTCTGCTGTGGGTAATCGTTATTAGGATGAGGAGAAATAGTCAAGCTGCCTTTCAATAGCATGCAATTCGCTGAAAAAATTAAAAAGAAAGAAAGAAGTCAATCCAATATCAATAATTTTTAATCCAAATCTACAAATTCCGGAGCTGTCTCCATATCCCAAAACCACAAGAAACCAATCGGTGTTATATGCTTTCAAATTAAAGAAGAAACCATCGAGTTTCAAAAATTCTCAACCCTAATCTACAAAATACATACACAAAATATAACAGAACTGTGCTGATCCATCTCCATCACCCAAACGTTGTAACCAAACCCACAAAAGAAATCATAGGGTTTTAAAAATTCCCACCCCTAATCTACAAAATACATACACAGAATATAACAGAACTGTGCTGATCCATCTCCACCACCGAAACGTTGTATCCAAAACCACAAAAGAAATCATCGGGTTTTAAAAATTCCCACCCTTAATCTACTGAATCCTATGTTAAGTCCACTTCATCCCCAAACGGCCTAAAAGTATAACAATACATACCAAGGACCAGGAGGGCAGTACGCGAATGACCATGCTTTGGGTACAGAATGTTCCTTTTCTCGCCATGGAAATCTACTTCTTTGGATTTGTAGATGATGTTTTGCGCCATTGCCTGGTTCCAACGGGGGATGGCGGTTAGTGTACATAAGATGCAAAGGTACAAACTAGGTAGTCTTTGGAGGGGGAGATTATCACATGCACAGATTTAGAACGGAGGCTTGAAGGAGGAGCACTTACATTGCAGCAGTAGGCAACCTATGTAGCCGTGGTTGTTGCTCTTCAACAAGCGTTTCGTCGTCGACCCCTCGCCAGTTCGCCTCCGCTCGCTCCTTCCTAGCCGCGCTCGCCGCCTTGCCCTAGTGCCCCACTGGAGGTCGTCAGCCGAAATCGAGGACGGGGAGTCGCCGCCGCGGGCGCCGGCGCGCCGCCTGCAGCCTAGGGTTTAGGGGGAGGGTTTAGAGGCGGCTGGGGGTAAGAAGTGGGAGTCGGATGTGAACGGCCGTGCGGGTAGGGGAATGAGGACTAAAGTTGGCCAACGGGTCCATTATAAAAGATCGTAATCTTTAGGTGTCTTTGAAAAAATTCAGCGGTTTTTAGTGTCACTACTTTAACTTTTTCGTGTCATCCATGTCACTTCCGTCAGTTTGGGCTCTAACGCCGTCAAACTGCAGGTGTGAAAAGACGAAAATGCCCTTAAGTTCAAATATGTTATTAATTTTTTTTGAGCATCTTAATGACTTCAAATGAAAAAACTCAAAACTAGAAAGTTGTAGATCTCGTCGAGATCTATAATTTTCATATAATTTTTTTTTATTTAATTCCGCAAAAAAATAATATGATTTTTCTAAGATATATTAATCATATCAAATCATATTTTTTTTGCGGAATTAAATGAAAAAAAAATTTATATGAAAATTATAGATCTCGACGAGATCTACAACTTTCTAGTTTTGAGTTTTTTCATTTGAAGTCGTTAAGATGCTCAAAAAAAATTAATAACATATTTGAACTTAAGGGCATTTTCGTCTTTTCACACCTGCAGTTTGACGGCGTTAACGTCCAAACTGACGGAAGTGGTATGGAGGACACGAAAAAGTTGAAGTAGTGGCGCTGAAGACCGCTGAATTTTTTCAGAGGCACACAGGGGATTACGATCTTTTATAATGGCACACAGGGAAAAGTCTCTTTATACAATGGCCGCGAGTCGGGGCTGCATTGTTTCGGGACGGACCCGGATACGGACGGTTCACCTTTTTTTTAATGCCCGTGTGTTGCGACGGGGCACATGGTTAGAGCCGCGGCAGCGATAGCATCAGGCGTGGAAAAAACGGGCGGAGAGAGCCACGGTAGTGGCGGACGGATATAAGAAACGGAAGAGGAGGTGGACGGGCGGAGTCGCGGAGAGGGAGACGGACGGTTCTCGCGGAGGTCCTCGCGTCGTCCGCTCGCCGGTTTGGTCCCTCTCTCTCACTCCCTCTCTTGATTTGGCCCGCCCGCGACGGTGCTCGGCTTCGCCCGTGCTCACCGTGCTAGGCTCCGACGGTGGGCGCGAGTGCTGCCCCCATATGACAGGTGGAACCCACGACGGACGAAAAAAAATAGGCAGAAGCCTTACTTGCTTTAATATTAGGTAGAGATTTCTATTCATTTCATAGATATCTATGGGTTGTTAGGTTAAAGAGTTTTATGATAGTTTTCTAGCATTAAATAAGTTAACATGATATATAGTATAGATAAAGAGAGAAATAATAAAAAATTTATGAGGTAAATAAATTTCATAAGAATTAAACTTATCTATACTATGTGCAACACATGTGTACACTAAGACTCGCTTTATTGTGTCTCGTAATCAATCAGTTTCTTATGGCTGCGATTTTGTTTGCATCTATCTTCAATGGGTTTCTTTCTTGTTGGGCCCTATTTCTATTTCTCTTTCCTATTATTTTTGTATTTTATGTTGGATTTTTTTAGACTTGGCCTAATTTTATTCAATTAAAATCAAATAAATCATAAGATTCAGATTAAATGCTAGGTGCAATAGAGATCGCGTGACGCAACGAGCGCGAGGACGGCAAGATCAGACAACCACGGCATGGCGCCAGGTGGGCTAGTCTAGTCACTATGAGCTGATTAATGGTGGTTGATTGTAGTTGATGGCTGGACTTGTAACGGTCATGGTTATGGCTGCAGTTACTAGTAACTCTTGTTATTATGGTTGCGGTTACTAGTAACTGATGAACACATTTATGATGTCCAGATTCATCATCTATCTCTTTGTCTTCCATCTCTCGTGCTTATTGTTGATAGTAATTGTTTCATAGATTTATTGTCTTAGTCTGATGACCGACAAGCTTGCTACGGGGTTACCGGGAGCAGGGATTGGTGGGCTTCAACGAAAACTCAGACTCGATGGTTAACATGAGACAGCGATTTAGACAGGTTCAGGCTGCTTAATAGCGTAATACCCTACGTTATGTATGATGGTTTGTCTTGCGTTGGATTGGTTGTTCTTGTTGTCTTGTTCTCCATACAATGGGGTGCTCCTGCCTCTCTTTATATAGTCCAGAGGGGAGGGCACGATTCTAGTCCTAGTCGAATAAGGTAGAAGAGTTCTAATCCTATTATAAAGATAGACTCTTCTATATCCGACTAGGTCGGTTCTTCTTGCCTTGAAATCCGCATCTTGTCATGAGTCTTCCTAGCAGCTCGTAGGTCAGCTCATCTGCTTGCTGGGTAGTCGGTCCTATGGGAAACCCTTAGGATCTTAGTCCGTCAAGCCCCCGAGCTCTTCATGGATGAACTTTGAAGTCTTTTTGAATCCTAGGTCATTGCCGAGTAGAATCAAGCAGCGTTCGAGTACTGTTCCTGAATCTCTAGGTCATTGCCGAGTAGAATCAAGCAGTGTTCGAGCACCCTTCTTCAGAGAAGCCATGAAGTGCTCTTCAAATCTTCGAAACTTCTTCAAATGGTGTGAGCTTTCTTGCAAAGCACACCCATTGGGTGTAGCCCCCGAGCCTCATGTTGTTTAGCATAAAGAGCTTGAGGTTCTTTTCTTCAATCTTCCAATTTTTTCGAAAAAAATTGAATGCATCTGCCGAGGGCACATGTCTCGTAGCCCTTGAGCCTACAACCGACTATTCAGAGTCGATTATAGGATCTTAGACATCCTCAGGGGTGCTGATGAGTTGAAAGCTCCATTTTGGTTTTAGTAATTGAGACAATTAGTGAACTAACCTTTACTCTAAATGTTGTGAATGAGATAGGTTATGTCCACACCAAGGTTGAGCAAGATGGCACTCATGGAGAAGATGTGAGAAGGCCACAAGATAATCAAGGGCTCAATCTTAGGAAAAGAAGAAAGAAAAACAAAATGCAAGGGCTCAAGGCAAAAGTATAAGTTAGGGCATTTTGTTTTACCGATCAAGACGCAATAGAGTGCGTGACTGGGTTTAGGTTAGATAGCCATATTATAAAGAGGGGAACTTGAAGTTCAAAATGGTTATCTAAGTGCCACTACATGAAGTAACGCATTGCATGTGCATTAGACCCTAGCTCATGCACAGTTCAGAGACCCGTCGGACTCTAACTTTCAAGAATATCGGACTATACGGTTACACAGTCCGACGGCAAACCCTAAGGTAGGGTTTCTGATAGAGGGGCATCGGACCAAGAAAATATGGTCTGACAGTTACACATGCCAAGGCATCGGACCATACGGTTGATACATCGTTTGGGCGCCAATGGCGTTTGAACTGACAGGCGACATGTGGAAGCGTTGGACCAAGAGGTTGGTCCGATGGTGAGCGTCGGACCAGTCTGAGGGCCTTGGCAGCTCTCTAGAACCTCTCTGGACCATGTCCGACCGAGCGGACCAATGGTCGAATGATCCTAGTGAGAGTGTGTTGGACTATACGGTGAAGTAGTCGTTGTGAGCGGCAACGGTAACCTTCAAACGGTTATTTACACGAGGCGCAATCTGAGGCCATCGGACCGTTAATCAATGGTCCAATGATGGTCATCAGACGGTCCGGTGACCCCCTGTAGGACCAGCTTAGAGCCAATAGCTCTTTGAGCTCTTAGGGTTATAAATAGAGGCTTGGCTAGCTGTGGCCAGCATCGCTGAGCATTCCAACATTGTATACACCCTTGTGAGCATAACAAAAGCTCTCCCACTCATCTACTTGTTGATTGCAACATCCTAAGTGAGTTGAGGAGTAATCCTAGTGCATTTACATTGAGTGATAGCATTTAGTGGCGCTAGTGATTGTTGTGAGCTGCAGATTCTTGTTACTCTTGGTGGTTGCTGTGGGGGGATAACCCCAGATACCCACGGCGATGGACATGGGCCAGTCCACCAGGGGCGGTCCAGCCTATAAGATCAAGGCGTGTGGTGCAAGGCGCTGCATGGCGTGCACCACATGATTTCTAGAAGGAATCCTGAAGACAGAGAAGGATCTGTTTGGATATGATAGGGATCGTATTCCTTATAAATATTTACCATATAACCGAATAGATCTAGATCTAACCGACTTGTAACCTTGCCCCCCTCAACTATATAAGGCGGGCAGGGACCCCCCTCAAAAGAGGAGCAGAACACCCCAAGTCACCTTGACTTTCGTAAATACAATCCACCAAAGACACAGGACATAGGGTATTACATCGATCTGACGGCCTGAACCGGTCTAAATCGTTGTCTCTGCGCCTGCGTCACGTCTGGTTCCTATCAGATGCACCTCCACCAATCAATCTACTACCGTGGGCATACCCCTCGGTAGACTACCGACCAGGTTTCATCGATAGTTGGCGTGCAAGGTAGGGGTGTGCGTGCTGACTTCATGGCCAACCAGATGGTCAATTTCTCGAGCTCCATGACCTTCCCCAAGTCATGCCAGTCATTTATGATTGGATCCATGACCTGTGTCATCAATGCCAATGGCATCGGGAAGGTCGTGGAAATAGTGCGGGATAATCCTACCCTGAACGTGTTGGCGTCGGTGACGCCAGCGCCGACACCTAAAGCTCCGACCTCAGCTTCTCACCGGGCAAGGTGATCCATTGATCATGATGATCTAATCGCGTCTATCGATTGGGTCACCCATGGCTTAGCCG